TTAGTTTGGCTTTGTTGCCTCTGAACCTTAAAGCTGCCTCATCATAAGCTCTAGCAGCATCCTCAGCAGTGTCAAATGTGCCTAACCAAACCCTTGCAGCTTTATATGGATCTCTTATTTCAGCTGCCCATTTCCCCCATGGCCTCATTCTCACTCCTCTATATTTTCTCCTAGGTATTCCTTCATAGGATTCTTCTATGATGTTTTCATGTGTTGGAATGTAGGTATATACTGCACTTGTCTGAATCCTAGGACCTTTTGCAGCTGTAATAAATTTAACTTCATTAATAGCATGTTTGTTAAAGAGACTTGACACTTTGAACAAGAATTTAGGTTCTTTTTCTTTTTTAATACTTTTCTATGCAACTGTTTGCGAAACATTCATCAAGGGGAAAACGGATTGAAGGGGTCACCCAACAATACATAGGCTAAAGATTTATTCCAACCTTTTCAGCTTATGGAAATGAAAAGACAAAAAACAAGTTAAAATCTTATTCACAATAATGTCCAATCGTGTGTAGGGCTTCATGCTAGATATGAATTTTATGCTTTTGCATGCAATATTATCTTAGGTGATACATACACATATTCATAGTAAGAAAATTACGAGGACGACGATGAAAAGCAGTTATATAAATTGAATATCAACATTTTTTTTAGTGTGTTATATGCTGCAAACTATAAACTATTTTATAGTATGGGAATCTAAAAGCTAACCATGCAGAAATGTTACACTGAGATACACAGAATGTTGGAATCTTGTTATTGTTGTTCAAAATCAAAAGAAAAAGAAGGATGGAAGATTTGAAAAGATGAAAGAAAACCACGGTTGGTGCCTTCAAAATGGTCTATTCGACCGCATAGACCTTCAAGGCATGCGGTCGAATAGACCTATTCAAGGAATAAATGGGCGACCATGGTTATAACTATGCGACCCTATGCGATCGCATTGTAGAGACTTTTGACCATTGGATTCAAATTTCTAGTGGTTTTCTTGTGAAACGATACACCTTTCCATCATGGTTTGGAACCATTTCGTGTAGGGATGATTGAGTACTATAAATATAAGTTAATTATCATTCCAAAAGATGATTTTTAATTTTTGGAATCATCCCTTTTTCGTCCCAAATTCTTGCCAAATTATTGTTCTTTACATAATCAAATTAATACCATTTCACTTGTTCATTTTTTGAAGAATCAATTAAGCATTTGGTGTTCTTCATTTCTAGGCTTGAAATCCTACAAACTATTTGTCATTTAATCCTCAAAAGCATTGATGGAGGACGTAAATATCGTTTGAGGACAACAATACAAACATCGTGATCAAGTCTTGTTTCTATTTCACTATTCATCTTCTTTTCTTTTTTGTTTCCATTGTAATATTTTCCATATTTTTATAACACAGAAGCCTATTTGGTGTGGATTAAAATATACTAAAAATCTATTTTTATCAAAATTTATTAAAAATTTGATATTAATCCACGCCAAATAGGGCAGAATATCTGACACGTTTGTTCTGACATTCGAGGGACATTTCTTCACATATATATGTATGTATTTATGTAAGTACCTGATCCCATGCCGGAACTTTCAATAGAAAAATCACTATATGCCCTGCAAACTGTCGTAACTGGTTCAGAAATCTGCTCATTCATTTGGTCTTCACGTCCCCTTTTATCTCCAACACTCCACGCCCATGCAGATGTGGAACTAGCAGCCTCAGTGCCGCCACAGCCACGGCCGCCACCACTACCACCTCCGCCGCTTGCCTCGACGACCTCTTTATTCGCATCACCTGCCACCACATGAGTCAAAGCTGCCACCATTGCTGACATCTCTTGCTCTCTATTAAAACCAGGTGAGAACAATGAACCCAATACATCATTCTCACTTTCGAAATTCTCGTCTCCCTGCATTTTCAACCTTATTCTTGTCACTGTTTTCTCTTAAATTCGCCACCTTAAACGATTCAAGAGCTTAAAAAACTACAAAAAAAAAATAAAATATCGAGACAGAAATACTGGAACAAATAGAATAACTTGTATAAATTTTTGTAGAAGAATTATAAATGAAACAACCTTGTATAAACAATTCGAGAATGTTAGGAAATTAAATAACTTGAGATAGAAGTACTGAAAGGAATAATATAACTATTTTGACGAATTTGAAAATTCATTAACAGAGAATTTATAAAAAATAACACTACTAAAAATTATTGATTTACTTATAAAAAATAAATTTTGTTTTGAATGTGTATATTAAAGAAAAAGTTGAAAAGAAAATATTGAACTGAAGTGTTATATAGCAAATCGAGAGTTGAAAATTTTGTCGATAATTAATTAGTACAGTAAAATACAGCAGCCGCTAAATTAAAGAGAGTCGGTATCTGACTCGGCTTCTTCACTGTGAAGAAAAGAAATTCGTTTTCTTTTTACTTTATACAGTAAAAAAAAAAAAAAGTTGAATTTGAATAGGTATGTGGATGGAGGGGAAAATTAATTAAAGAGAAAAAAAAAAAAATAGTTGAATCGAGTGCTGAAAATAAACAGAAAAGAGTCAAAGATTGAAGTGTGAATTCGCATACAAAAGCACCGGTTTTGGAATCTGAAGGTGAGAACCCAAGACACGTTTTCGAGCTAGTCGGTCGGAGTCCACTGCCGACATAAGGTTGGAAATATCCCACTTTACCCATGACTTGCAAGTGTCATGTTGAAGATCCAATCGACTTACAATGTAAATACTTTTAATGTGATTAATACATTTTATTTATAACAGATATATTATTAAATAAAATTATCATTTTAATAAATTATATTAATAGAGTCACCATGGTGATAAATATCGTGACTCTATAAATTGATAGCAAGCAGGTAGCTATGTAGCCAGGGGAGGATACAAGCATGGGCTCGACCGGACTACATTCTGTATTCACCCTGCAAATGTCCACTTTGTTCTTAGGATATATATATTATTTGAACAATATGACATGACCTTATTGTCACATTGATCGAAACTAATCAAAATTTCTTAATTTTCATTAAACAATAAATCAGTGATATTGTCTAAGGGAATGTTCGGTAGAAATTAAAATTGGATTAAAATTGAAAAATTAGTCGTTATTGTTGACTTTTATTAGACGAGTGAGACCCAATAACGGTCATATTTTTAATTTTAATTGGATTTTAATCTGTACCGAACAGCCCTTAATGCTATTTATCTTTAGTTCTGATTGTCGCATAAATTGGTGGTGAACACATTGCCCTATGTCCATACTACTCCCATTTAATGCTTTTGCACTCAAAAAATCTTAGACCGTTGACTTGACTCAACTTCGCATTCCTCAATTGGCACAACTACCCACCCCACCGCCCAACCAAACACCAAAAGGGACAAGGATTTTTTTTGTTCTATAAGTTGGTTTGTTAGTTGAATATCGTGGGCTCCATTTCATCTGACAATGCAAACTAAATATTGCTGTCAATAAAAATAATTTATAAAATTTGACATTGGATGATCAACTAATATTTGTGATCTTTTATTCTATTTACTGATTAGGCAATTATTTTCACTGGAAATGTTCTCCCGTCCACGATTGGTAGAATAAGACTGTCTACCTGCTGATGTGGCAGGAGAACCCAACGTGGGGTTCTCTCTGAGTGGGTATTATAAGACTTTCCA